CGCCAGGATGCAATGAGCCGGATGAAAGAGCTGGTCAATCGGGATCTCGACCGCGAAAGGATTCTCGTAGAATGATCGATTCAGATAATCCTTGCTGGTTCGGATTCGGTCCATCTCCGGGTATCGGCGTCGGAACCATTCTTGGTAGCGCATCTCGGTTTCGTCGACCAGCTCTGGTGGGATCATGGACTGATCGTCGAGCCGGACAAACCATTCCGTGTTGGCATTGATATTACTACTTCGAGCAGTAGTGGTGGCGATCCAGTCGGAAAATGTCTGCCATGGTTGCGTGAATTGGAGCTGGTTTCGAAATCCCTCGCTACCGCTCGTGTTCCAATGCATCCATAAAGTTGCGGATTGGTCGTCACGGCCATTTTTATCCATGTAGAACATGGCAGTAATGAGAACTAGGAAAAGGACAAGAAGAAAGATGAATAGGCACAAAAAAAGAGAACTGTGAATCCGTAGGCGAAGAACTCTTCCCTTGGATCGGTCTATGTAAGTTTCCTTGTTGTCTTCTAGCGCACATCGGTCGAGAAAAGAAATCGACACAGATTCCGCCGTTTTGCCACGAAGATTCAAAATAGATACCAGATAGCTTCTTCCTGCATTGTTTTCCCTGACTTCTTCGTCTCTTTTCTCCTGGTCGGTGTCAGCAAACAGGAAACAGGTGGTTAATTCCTTTTCCTGTTGGAAAAACTGCAGAGCATGCGATAGAGCCTCTTCCAACGTCCATGGAGAGGTTTCGGTGACCGGAGACTGCCAAAGGATGAAGGTGTTATTTCCATCCACCTGAAGAAGAGTTTTGTGACTGCTGCTGCCTCTGTTGTTGGTGGTTATCGCATTTAATAGCAGCAGGTCAGCCAAGTCTGTAGGGCCCCGTGGTATTTCTGGTAGAGAGGAGGAAATGACATAGAAATGTGACCGGCTTGGAATATTTTGCTCTTCTTCATATTCAGTGTGAGGTATTTTAAAGATATTCATTTTTTTCTTCACACTGCGGGAGCTTCGTGTGGGATATGAATGTCAGAAGAAGGTTTTCAGAGAAGAACTCGACTCATGCAGCGGAATTCTGGTAAGATAACACAGAGATACATAGATCAATCTCCAAATTCGATTTCTCCGCGCAAGGATGTAATACCGATTGAGAAGTAGTGTTTGTTCTTTCTTGAGAGATGAGTCGACGCTCCAGTCTCAGGTCCCTTTCCAATTCGGTTCAGTTCAGCACTAAGAGACCTTATTCGAGCAATGAGTCTGTCAAACAGCAATAGCAGGAAAGGCGTCAAAGCCCGTACTTGTGACAACCAACAATGGCGACTTTGTTTCAATCAGGATATCTGGGCGATGGATGAGAGCTGAGGGAAGGGTAACTACCAGGGATATGTACCAATAGTCTTCAGGGGCGCCGTTCAATCTGAAATTTGTACTGAAATACAGAAATGGCATGTTCGGCGAAGACCGTTGTCTTTTTGGCGCAGCAAGCGTGTTCTGACCCTTGTAGTGGAGTCACTGAGACCCTCCTGCCTGACAGCAACTCTTGGTGGCCTTGTATATGCATATGGAAACAATAATTCTCGAAGCCCAAAGCCACGGTTACATCGCGTAAAATAATTCAAGACAATACCGCTGGAGGACGCCTAACATTAAGTCCAGGTACTAACGACTGAGGCAGTGCAGTCTCATTCAGGATGAAAATGATGATATGGCATGCGCAGGACGTACATACACTAGGGCGTTGACCACGGAAGGCCTATCCGGTCCTATCGTATACGATATGGAAAGCGATATGTTGGTTCAACATTGGACTTATGTTGGAAGGGCCTAATAGTGCCGGGTTTCAAGTTATCTGCTATACAGGCCTGTATTATCCTACTAATATGCCCCGGCAGTGATAAAGTGATACTAAACGGTAGCGTTTAAACTAATTAGAAGCATAACATTAGTTTGTTATTATGAACTCCTTTGACAAACTTGTCATTTTGGTGGGTCTGCCAGGGAGAAGTGGGACCTAACAACTCGTCAAAAGTTTGTCCATCGGGTATACAATCTGTCATCAATCAATATCTGTGGATAATTTAGTCAATGAATCAAAGAGAATTACCCGTAGACTTACCGGAAGACCAACCAGAAGGACGGGGTAGATATGTACTGTACAGTACATACCTTACGTGTTGGTTAAAAGGCCACACAACGAACGTACAGCCGTTCTTTGACCTGGGCGCTAAGCTAATTGAATCGGCATCGTCTTTATCAACTACCATTATAAACCCGGCTATCAGCTGTGCTCAGCCGCTAATTTCAGCCCGCAAGGACGTTGGCATGCAGGTGTTGGGTATAATGAGTCACACAGAAGCGGACAGTTTTACAGTTCAGATACCATCTGTACTCCGTATAGCTAGGAAACACATGGGTATACATACCGTCTCTGGACATGAGGGGTTTGTCTCCGAGAGGTGGGGTTCAGTTAGATGTTAACCCTTAACCCAAAACCCTAAGTACCACCATTTGCGATCGGGATCAATCTCTCCTGATTAGGAATAGTCAGTTGCTAAATTAGATTAAAGTGCGGTGTGGAGTAGATTACCCTACTCTGTACTCATCGCTTAACTTTGGCCAGTAACGCACTAGAATTTAGTCGATTTTAGTCTGTTGTGCTAAAACCAGACGAAAATTACCGAGTATTTCATACATGGGTACCGTAGATGCAACGAGCCAGATTTGGGATTAAACCGAATGCCAAAAATGCTCAATGAACTGCACTGTGAGTCTGGTCTGCTATCTCTCTCGCTTGTCATGTGTATTAGACGCTTTTGAAAGGGAATCCAAATCCAGACAAGTATATGTATCAAAAAAAAAAAGAGAGAGCGAGAGAGAGAAATTTCGGACGCGGCAGGAACTTTAGCTATTCAGACCTCCACATTCGTGTTCAGGGAAATCCCAGAAACAGTTCCAGATCCCGGCTGCAAAAATATCTCTCCGCAATGTTTGATGTGATTCTCCGTATCGGACCTGGGCTCGACAATCTTCCCATTAAATCGGGTCCGGAACTGCTTTCTCCAGTAGAAAATACAATGGATCTTATGCCACTGCTCATTCATGTGAACTCGAGCATCCGGATCGTCGCCCATGGCGGCGACAGTGTTGGAATCGACCTCGATCGTACGAAGCGAATCTGCATAATACACCCACGACCCGTTGGGCCCATTGCCTGCGGTGTTGAATTCGGCGGTGAGCTCATCGTCTCGACAATGCTCCGGCAGCCAGGCCATGGCTAGGGAGTCAAATTTGCACCCGCGCGATATTGCTTCAGCCACTGAATCTCCGCAGTCGCATCCCTCGGGGATACTGTGATATGCGAGGCCAAGGCCAGGCACAATTGCCAACCGTTGAATAATGCTCACAAGTCCCCAGGCAGCGAGGGAGAATAACACAATGTCCTTGATCACTCGAAGAGAGAGCCACTTTTGGCGGGAAGGTTGGGAGTAGTCAGTACGTTTGCGACGCTTGGTCATCAGGCTCGAACTTTCAATCTGCTCTTCTTCGTCGGAGATTGCTTCGTCGACTCTTCGATTTCGCGCTTGTTAGTCTTCCTTGTATAAGGCATTTATGTATGAATTCCTTACCGGTGGTATTCTATCGCCATATTCACTTGATTGGCCTTTTTCTTCTTCTTTTGAACCCGTGAGAAGTGGACGGTGAAGGGGAAAATTAAAATTAATGGGACTTTGGCAGCACTTTTGACTGGGACATAAGGCAACAAAACAATCATGTCTATCCTTGTAGACTCGTCAAGGAAGAGCACGACAGAATGGACTAGAAGCGAAACCAACACGATATCGCTTACCAACTTATCACATGCCAAACATTTAGCATTTGAATCACCGGGAATCTCCGGAAGAAAAAATAAATTGAGTCGTTCCAACAGAGACATAACAATACGCTAGCTGAGAAGTTGGTGACGCCAGAAAGACCAACGTACTGTAAGATGCGATGCATTGTGCACGGACTGCAACATACGGTATGTATGTACATGATCTAAATTAGGCCTGATGGCAGTAATACTGCATGACATAGGATATTCTGATACACTTATCGCGTTGTCTTCGAACTCCATTTGAGCTACAGGACGTACTGTTCAACTTGTCAACTTCAACGTCATCCCGTCCGGTTGACTGCTCTAAACCTTCAAACTCCAGAAGCTCCTTGGTAGAATATCATCGACACCACTACTTTTCAAATTCTCATTCATTCTTCTTGATCATACTAGTCTTCCATGGCTCCGAACCCAGCATATACCCGGCTGCCTCCTTCCAGCCTTGAGTGTCCTTTGGACTCGATTCCCGAGAAACTCGAAGAAGAGACTTTCGAGAGGACAAGGCCAATGAGTAGAACTGTGACCGTGGCCTACTATATTTTGACGTTGGTTTGCGGCATCCTCATCGGAATCGCTATCTCGACTGCCTCACGGCCGCTCGTCGGATCCATATCGAAGGCCCTCGAGAAAATACAAGCACCGCCGATACAAGAAGTAATTCATGTCAATCCCGGGTTCGTCATCAGCCCGGAGACCGGGGAAGCCAAATGCGGCAACAATTGGAGAGAGGCGAAACGGCTGGGATGTCATTTTGACGTGATGGCGTCGCGATGGTATTCGGACAGCTGCTTCAACGGCGAGGTCTTGGACCAGATGTTGAAAGAGGTCGACTTTGAATGGTATGCGGATCCGCAGCACACCCAGAAGGTTCCGAAAGAGGTCGCCCTCTCTGGAGAGTTTGATGAGCTCTATCCCCTTCACGACTATCACATCATGCATTGCCTCTATCTATGGCGAAGACTGCACTCGGCCCTTATCGAACACCGTCACTTGGACGACGATGTCTACAGTTACGGACATACGCTGCATTGCACGCGATTGATTATGAATTGGCATAAGAAGAAGAATACCACCACGATTGCGACCTCTGGCATCCCATTCTGTCGGAATGATCCTTTATGAGAGGGAGCGAGATCAGAATTCTGGGGGCTTCCCTCACGTTGAGATTGTATTGGAAGGCATTAAATTGGCAAAGATCCAAAATGGTGTTGAAACTGCACTGCGATGTTCCATCATGTTTCTTTGCTGTCCCGTGTCTCAGGATCTTACGACTTCGGGGCGAATCCAAAGCTCAATCGTTACCTTAGGCTACGTGGAAACGTCCTCGTGCGCCAGAGTATAGTGTTTTTCGCTGTTCCATGATTTCGTCAAATTAAAGGAAAAAAAAAGTACATTAGTGTCATCTCATGGATTTAGACTCTGGCATATGTACTTATTTTACTTCAGTCTCGTTCCCAGAATAATCTGTTGGCCAGAGGAGACATGGACACATGGCTATACGGAATATACAACCTCAGTACGTATGTAATTTTTCGCCTCTTAGCGCAACGCGACTGAAAAAAAAAATAAATCGACTAAACTTTAGTGCGTTACTGGCTAAAGTTAGGCGACCTTGAATAATGTATTAATATTAGTTTTAATCTAATCTGAACTTTAATCTATTCATGTGACAGCTGAACATAAGTTACACTAGGTATCTTTAGACATATTGCACTAGTAGGCGGCCAGCCGGATGGCGTAATAATCACAGCAACGCATTTTACATCAAAGTTTACCATTGTTGGAAACTTTCGAAGATGCCATTGGCGGGATAGTTGTATATAAAAAGCAGCAGTTGTATACAACAGTTAGGTATGTAGGCATACTTTGAGCAAGCCCTGATAAAGTGCCAAACGCCGCTCGATCATTGGACTCATGGCCATTAGCTAGCTAGCTAGACAGCAAAGGACCCAACATCTGTTATTTCCGGGATATTCTGTGTCTCCATCGTGGTATGTATGTACGTACAAAGAGATTCTGCCCCCATGGCCGAGGCGCAAGGCGTGCAGGCATGACCCCCCATGACTGTGCTCTCGCAACCAACGGAATTCTCGGGGCGAGACATTTCATATAGTAGCGTCTACTTGGCTCTTGTTTACGCTGTTGTTCAAAGAAATTAATTGTTATGTTAAGTTGGAATGCTGAAATTTCCACCGTATGGCGTATGTGCTTTGTCCTGTGTACTCGGTGCTTAGGCCCTGTAAGGACGTGAATGCAATCAGAGATTGTTATCAACTGGGGCCAGGTTTTTTTTTCTTTTCAATTAATCTATCTTACGCCTTAGCAAAGAGCAGGGATACCCCTCAGACTGCTAATGGTAATGTAGCATCGAAACCTTGCTTGCGATTTGGTGCATTAATAGCTGAATGTGAGACAGCAAGGCAGGAAGAAGCCTACATAACTGGCCGGAATATCATTACCAACAGACAGGAATATAGTTCACGAACAAACGTCAGATGTTGGTTAAGGTAGACTTCGTAGGCCCTACTTTGCATAGCTCCATGCGAGATCGTTTTGATTTCCTGGTTTTGTTTGTCCGTCTTAGCCCGCCGCCTAGTATATATCTCTGTTCAGTATATACATACGTAGTTGGCTTCCTCGGATCTTATATCTATCATACCGCCCTTCAATATCTCCTCCTAATTGTTTCTTCTCATTCAATAAGTCCATTTTTGAATCGTCAGCCACTTTGAAAATACAATCGCTTCATTTTTTCCCTCCCAAGCCTCATCCTAAATTCGCTACAATGAAGTACCTCAACGCCCTCGTTATAGTGGCGGCCCTGGTCTCTCAGACCACGGCATTGGCAATCTCTCGCCGGAGCGTGGCTGCTGGCCCAGTGGCCGAGGAGGTTGTGCCCACCTACGACAAGCGCAGCGTGGCAGCTGGTCCAGTTGCTGAAGAAGTTGTGCCCACCTACGACAAGCGCAGCGTGGCAGCTGGTCCAGTTGCTGAAGAAGTTGTGCCTACCTACGATAAACGCAGCGTGGCTGCTGGCCCAGTGGCCGAAGAAGTTGTGCCTACCTACGACAGAAAGTGAAATGGTGTGTCGTTATTGTTTCATATGACTGAGATTGATCGTGTGATTGCAGGCTAATTTCAATAGAGATATCTGTCAGCTTTCCAAAGGAAATCTAGAATGATTCGGTGGAAACGGGGAGAGAAGCGGTCGAGGGAAGCTCAGGGTACACAGTTCTTTAAGAAGGAGAGGTAGTAGTAGGGAGAGAAGAAAGAAAGCCATGGAAGGACTTTTGACTTTTTTTCAGTCTTTGAGTGTGATGTTAGTTACATAAGTCATCATTATTGACAAGTCATATGAATGTAAGAATTAATGATGACAGCTTGCTTGAGCTTCAATAATTTATTATTGCCTCTTTTCATGCTATTGTGCAATTGCTGAGATGAAGGGACTTGGTAAAAAAGAGAGCTATATTCAGTAAGTCCTTATTTCCCTGCTAATGTGTTGGAAAATATTGAAATATTTTTTTTTAATGAAGGAAGAGCAAAGGAGAAACGGTTAGTATAAGAATTTGTCTGAAAATTCTACATTAGGTCAGTATGAGAAAATCAAGGGCTGATAGATATGTGCAATCAAATAACTATGGATACTCTAACAAGTTTTAGTTAACAGGTTCTCGGGCAGTGTATTGGTCATCCATTTAATGGGATGCGGTCAAAACTTGTTGAATGAGAATGGCAAATTTGTAAGAAATCACTAGATAGAAGAAGGAAGACTTTATCACCATCGATTCTTCTGTGTCAGACTGTGTGGTCGTTGTTCTCATCCTCCTTCTCTTCTGGAGGACGAAGAGGGTCAAAAGATATAGGAAGAAGCTTATCGCTCAGATCCCAAATCGCCCTTTTATTCGCCCATTCTGTCAATGCATCGAAATCGACGCAGGAATGCGTCTGGCCCCAGCCTGTGCTTCTGGCCCATGCCCCCGTCTCTCCTTCCAGGGTCGTATCGGCAGAGCAAAGAATGCTCTGACGGAGATACTCGACACAGTGCGCCCTGTGCTCAACCTTTTGGTCCTCCAAGACAGCCCATTCCTCGCGGGAGGTGCCTAGGGCTGTCATTAAAATAGACTAAATAAGCCCAACGAGCTTAGTAGATCACATCCAAGACCCCGCAGATTTAGCGGAGGAAACGGGCGTGGCTCTCTTACCAGACAATGCAATTGATGATAGACGGACATGATATACCCTTCATAATGATCGCCTTCTTCAAGAACATCCTTCATCTGGAATGGCGGATGGAGGACTTCGAAGTCTTCATTTTCGCTGACACGCACGTAGCCTCTGCCCGCTATACCCATTATCAATACATCATGTAAAAGAAAGCAAAGAAAAGACTGCAGTCTCTTGTAGCCACTTACTCGGGAAAAGTTGCTGCCAGTTTCTATGGATCTCCTTCATTCTTGTCGCGTTGCGCATCATTTCAGTGTCATGGTACGTGATCTCGGGACCAAAGCCAGCGGTGTTTCCAAAAACTACTTTTTTCCGTGGAACTGAAAAAGAAAACGAAATCAGCTGAGAATATATATTATTAAGGACATTCGAGAATGAACTAACGGGTTGGGCCGTATGTGACATTCTTAAAATCTGGTGTTCGCCGATTCATCGCACCAGATATCAACATTGCTATGATGATTATGATTAGACCAGCTTCGAAAAGAAGACGCAGATCCAGATATTTTCGAAGTGGCGTTCGTGGTTTCCGTAACTCCAGCTTTGCTAGGAACTCTGTGGACTCGGAGGAGGATTGTGCATCATCGTAGGGATGCTCATGCCATTTCTCAGACTCGTGTCGCTCCATATTTTTGATCAAAGAATAAGAGGGAAACATCCAAGTGGAAAACAAAAAAGAAAAGGAGCAAGGAAAGGAAAAGTTTGAAGGGTGTGCTTGTCAAATTCTAGGTAATGGATGGGTGGTTAGCTGGTATATTGAAAAAGTAAAAGACATGGGCATCAGGAGGTCCCCAAGAGACTTCGAGCAAATGGGCTTTTTGTTGGTTTACTGCCCTCTGCACAATGTACCGTACAGTACATACATTAATAGTAGTGTTGGTCCGCCTCTCAAATATGTCATCAGCTTTGATGCGGGTAGCCGCAGGAGGCCCAAAGGTATTACCAACGGCGTACTGAGTAGTGCTGTTCGAAGATACAGCGGTATTATTACTAGTGAGTTCTCTACTAACTAGCAGCTGCAGCGGACATTCAGGCAAGCAATGTTAGTGCGGTCTGTGAAGAGCAGATGTGGTGATAAGCCCTGTCATCTCATCACAGCCACTAGCAAATCGCGGCATTCTGCCGAACCATAGATAGATTAAAATAACACGGCAAGATAAGACTATTCTGCTGTGTAACCAACATATCGCCATCGCATCATTAGCTGACCCATCCACTGTGGTCTTTGTTCTCCTCAGTGGTATGGAACGAGTGAAAACCACTCTACGAAACGCAACTAGGCTCTTGAAGGTCCTGATAATCTTGTTTGATTGGTGGTAAATATGCTACCTAGGTTCTGGAAGTCATGTCATGGAAGATGTTCTAGTTCATAACTACATAGCAGGGATCTGGTAAGTTAGGCAACTTCCCGACGGGACCAACACCCACCAGTCAGTTTTTTCTTTTTCTTGTTCTTCTTACAGAAACTAAAGCAATTAGAATCTTACATCCAAGTACGGCCAGAAGAAGTGGGCCTTCGATCAGATACCCTTGTCAATATCGAGACTCGTGTCCGCAACAACCGCTAACTATCCAGCTGGGACTCTAGATTGAGGTACACGCGGGGCGATATCACCCACTGACGAAACTCTCCCTAAATATTATCAACAGAACCAGGAATCTGAATTGATTGTGGAGCCTCCAAAAAGCCGCCACTCGAGAAGGTACAGTACGTCTTCTCACGTGAGATACTAAAATAGACCATACTTGGTCTCTCCATGTGACATCTGGAGGCTATAGCATTGAATAAGCAGTAGTAATCACAGATTTGGATTGGTCTCTCATGGACAAGAGTCACTGTACTTGTCTATGACGATAAATCTCGCAGAAGATTGAATTTTCAATCTGCAGCCCAGGATGACCCAAGAACGAAACAAGTTCAATGCGGAAGTTGATGACGAGAGCATCTGGTCACCATTACAAATCGCCGCGTCACAGGGAGACCTCGACCTGGTCTCAGAGCTGCTGGAAAGAAATACCGATCCTAATGAGCCCCCTACGGGGTACTATGGGCAAACGGCCTTGCAAGCCGCTGCCGCTGCCGGTCATATTCATATTGTTGATAGGCTTCTATTAGCAGGTGCCGAAGTTGATGCACCTGGAGGCAACAATGGGGGACGAACGGCACTGGCATTAGCTGCTGGAGCAGGTCATCTTGAAGTCGTGGACAGGCTAATTGCAGCGGGAGCGGATATCAATCATCCAGCACATCGCTACATGGGGAGAACAGCTTTGCAGGCTGCAGCGGAGGGAGGGCATGTCACCATTGTGAGACGACTTCTGGACAAAGGGGCCGACATCAATCGCGCCCCCAGCACATAATAATGGGAGAACAGCGCTACAAGCTGCTGCGGCCAGGGGAGAGATTGTACTTGTGGATCTATTGCTTTCTAAGGGTGCTCAGGTGAATACTCCATTAATGCGGTATAAAGGTCTGACCGCACTGCAAGCAGCTGCATTGGGCGGCCATATGGAAGTGGTCGAGAGGCTTTTGGCGGCTGGTGCCGATGTCAATGCAGAGGGATGTTATTATAATGGATGCACCGCCTTATATGCGGCTGCCGAGGGGGGACATCCTGAGATTGTGGCAAGACTACTGGATGCCGGTGCTGATATTGACATGACCTCGGGTAACAAACACTGGACACCATTTCAGGTCGCCGTATGGAGAGGACACCACGAGGTTGCCGCGGTCTTAAGGAGACATCAATCGGAAAAGGAGCATTCGAAAGTAATTCGAGGTCAAAGCTCATTGGAAACGGCACCGCAAATGAGATTGTATTGACAAGGTCCGCCAATTCCGAAAACAGGATCGAGTGAAGGATTATCTCACCTAATTTTATGCAGAAGTCTAGGATCCGGCCATTTTCGACTGTCTTTTTTTGTTGTGTGTGTGTGTGTGTGTGTGTGTTAAAGACTGCAATCGACTTCTCTTGCCCTGGCTTAAACAACAGTGGTGAAGCGACATAAAATCGAGAGTTATATATATCTCTCTCCCTGGTTGCAAGCGATGGACAGTCCATCCTCTTTCTCATTTCTATATATTTTGGACAGTGAAAAAAAAAGGCAGATCATACAATACACTCTGATGTACATAAAAATAAGCGTGAAAAGATAGACAGCGAGAGCTTTTTATGCTTAGTTATGATTTCAACCAGTTGGCCCCCTGTTTTGTATGTACATGTAGAATACATACATTCGTTTGCTTTGTCTCATTTCCGCTAACACCCTCTACAGGTTTCTTCTGATGGCTAGACAGATCTCCGTATCCCTCGGTCGATGTCGTTTTTTCAGTGCAAGTTCTGATCTCATCGTGACGTTTTGGATGCTTCGTGTATATGAAGTACTTCTCCAGTTTTTCTTTTTTTCAGTTTTTCTCAACACTATTTTCATCTAAATATATATAATCGATAATGAAGTTCACTCATCTTGGTCGAAGTCATCGAAACTCCATGTTCTGAACCAATTAAAGCTCTGTTTAAGTAATCCAATACCATTTATATCAATAGATACTTACTGGCCAGAAGAAGGAGAAACTTTACCTACCAACATACATGTATAGTACATTAGATACCAGACAGAAGACAACACTTAGGCCTTCGGCATCACAAGTCTGCCTTCTGGCTCTCACCAGTCGGTAAGAATGAATTGTGTGTGTTAAAACAACTATCTACTTAAGAGTTCCTGCTCATACAATCATATTTGCTCGGAAAATATACAATGTCAGCCATCTCGAATACATTCTGTATTATAGCTCTCATCCACTGGTGCCCGAGACTAACTACAACATGGATGGTGAACATGTCTGAAGTCTCAGCATGGCTGTCGAACATCGTCATACGCGAGGCACAGCTTCGACATGGCTCGTCTCGATATCTGTCCCTTCCTTTGCATGCTTCGCAGCAAGACCCACGTCATCGACACCCGAGAAGTCGGCCACACCGAAGAGTTCGTCCATACGCTCGAGCGAGATCTGCAAACAACACAACGGTCAGTCATCCATACTATCCATTCCTTACTGCATTAAAAGGCCACATAACAACTGTACGCAAGAATACAGAACGAGGTTCAGAAGGGTCCACTTACGCCTTTTGTCTCGGGCACAAAGAACGCTGCAATCGCCATAGCAAAGCAAAACGAGCCATAGATAAAGTACGTGCCATACCCGGTTGACCCGCCTACCGTGACCAGCATGACAGGCGTCACGCGCGCGACAACGAGGTTGAACAGCCATTGTGTCGCCGCGGCCAGGGAGACATTGTACCCGCGCAGCCTGTTTGTGGGGATTTCGCTGACGTAGATCCAGCATACTGGGCCCCAGCCAAACTGGAAAGCAGCAGCAAAAATGTAGACCATGACGAGAGCGACATAACCAGCTGGGGAGATGGGGGCTTTGCCTTGGGCGGATCGAAGCGGACGTAGAAACCGAGGTAAAACATGCAGAACCACATGAGGAAGCCGGTCCACACGAATGACCACTTCCGTCCGAGGGTGTCAGCAAGGAAGGTGATGAAGATGGCGCACGAGCACATCTTCACGATGCCGTACACGCCGGTGGCTAGGAGGCTGTTGGCGTTGCCGGTCACGCCGAGGTCAGTGAAGATCTTGGGAGCGTAGTAGTTGACAGCATTTGTCTGCATGGAGAAGACGTGGTCAGCCTAACTATGGTGTTGCTGGGACAGAGACTGGATCTGCTTGACTTACCCCCGTCCATTGCTGACAGAGCATAAGTCCAATCGACATAAGGGCTCGCTTTCTGTTCCCTGGAATCAACCAGCATTCCTTCTGCATTGCCCAAAAGCCAGTTCCATGAATCGAGCGACGTTCCTCCTCGAGCTGAGTCCTCAACTCGAGCAACTCTTGCTGCACGTATGGATGCTGCACAGGGAGATGGCGTACACTGGATAGGACTCTCGACGCCCCATCCCAATCGTCCTTGCTAGCGAGCCATCTTGGCGATTCGGGGCAGAGCAGGATGCTGAAGAAAATGAGGGCCGGGGGGAGCGACTGCATGGCGAGCGGTACCATCCACGAGCCGTGGCCCTAATACATGGACAGGGGTCAGCATCGTCCGGCGACACAAGTTAGAAAGCAACACTGAGCTCTAACCTTGATATGAAGCAGCGAGCCATAATCAATGAAGAAGGCAATCATAGCGCCCATCGTCTCGAAGAGTTGATAGAGACCAATTAGAAGGCCTCTGATCCCACGAGGAGAATTTTCTGAGACGTACGTTGGGGCAAGCATTGTGGCGCCCCCAAGCCCAAGGCCTTCGACAAATCTAATGTTGATAACCGGATCAAAGTCAGCTTTCCTTTCTGTATCCCTTGACGCCCCTTCCTCAGGTTCCTATGCGCAGTGGAAGGTGTGAGGTGACGTACCTTCCAATGTAGAAGCAAGAAAGATGTCCATATGCGAAGGCTTGGAGAAGTCCCCCGATAAATGCGAATATGGACACAATAAGCAAGCCTGGCTTTCGTCCGAGCTTATCGGCAAAGGGGTTGGCGAGCAAAGCACCAGCAAAGGCCCCGGCTTGCATGACAGTGACGAGATTCGCAGAAAGGTTAGCTTGGGCAACCGCGTCGAGTCCATCTAGGCCGAACTCTCTGCGTAATGTTTAGGTCGATGCGCAAGCAGAATTTCGCACGCTGAGGCTTACTTCTTGAAGTCGGGCAGCGTCAGGACCCCCCCAATAATACCCGTGTCCATGCCGAACAAGGTGCCACCAAAACAAGCCTGCATACTTAAATCAGTCTTTCAAGGTCAAGCTGATGGAAGTTTCCAAGAATCGCTTCAAATGGACTACTGACCGCAGCGGCGAGCGCAAATACCCTCCAGTTATAGACTTCTGGAGGGTCCAGCGCGATGGCATCATTTCGCACAACTCGGCGCAGGAACGCGTAGCCACTCATGACCACTCACGACTCACGATTTTGATAGAGAGAACGAGATGATGGCAGCAGGGCAGGAAGAACCCTGGACAACGGAACGAATACGAGAACTTCGTCAGCAGGTTCTGGAAATGTGAAAGAAGAGAAGAGCCGACCGTATATAATAATAAAGCACGGACCTCAATAAAGCAGATGCAAAAGCTTACAACGCATGCCTACATGCCGAGTAGCTACTCAGCAATTTGTAATTGGTTTGCGCCGCTGCTACAGAACATCCACACAATGTTACTGGTTCCGGGAAGATGCGTGGGCATACAACAGTCCAGACCTTGCCGACCGGCTGTTTAGCCTAAAGAGGAGTTGATACTTATTGGCGATAGCAAGCCATACAACACATCAGCGGCCGTTCATCGGGGAGGACGAACTAGCGGCAGAAATTCCATACCCCGGACATGCAGAATCCACCCCCACAAAACCCCCACGGCACCCCCACGAAACCCCGCATTTAGACCCCAACAAGGAGGACGCCCCGTCGATTTAGCCAAATAACAAGCCAAGCTTTTCAAATCCAGCAAATCAGGGCGACAATCAAATAAACCTCCCCACGCCAACTCTTTCTCGGTATCCTGGGCTTGATATGACATTTGACGTCAGCTATCTATTTAACCTTTAACCATCAAACCTTTATGTTTCTCTGCTTGGTCTCCAGCATCATGCTGAAACATCGCTACTACTGGAGCTCCTTCTAGAAGAGATAACGAAGGAACGAACCAATAAAATTATCAGCATTAGCCACACAGGCAATCGAGTCGACAGAGTTATTCTTTTTACTCCATTCTCTTAGAGCAATTTAGTACTAACTCCAGGAGCTTTACTGGCTAGTTCCAACACATGACCATGCCCGACCCTTGTATGACGAAGCTGTCGATTTTCACTTAACACTATTTGACTATCTATCTACACAGTTTATTCCTCGTGGAATCCATACTCTTTCCACTTCTTCAGCACTTGGTCCTTCACGTCAGCCGGGTACGAGCCCTCGAAGTTGTTCGGCACCCATGATCTCTTTCCCTCAAACTCAGATGACAGCAAGAGATTCACTACGCTCCTTCCACCTTTTCCAGGGTCCGGAACCTGCTGCTTGCTCGCCCTCGTCATGTAGGGTAGCATAGGGATACCGATTGTATCTCCAAACACGTACTCATCGGCGCCGGGCCGGTACTGCGTTGCGACTGCCCACAGGAGCTGGTGCGCGTCCGTGATATCAACATCGTCCCCAACGAGGAAGACCTTTGGCACCTCCCAACCGGCATGCGTCTTGAAGATGATATCACCCGCGCGGCGGCATAGCTCCTCCGCTGTGATGTTCATCTGGGCGAGTTTCTTGATGTCGACGCTCACGACGATCCAGCAGCTCTGCGCCTCGAACGGCATCCACACAAAGTCGGCAGGAAAACCGGCCTCTCGCAGCGTTGCTAGCAGCTCCGCCGAAATAGCTGAGCCCCAGACAGTGTGCGTCTCATCCGCAGCCTGGCCAGCGACACAGATGGGCACCACTGGGTTGTCGCGGTATGTCACGCAGTCGACCTGGAACAACGGCTCGGGCACGGGCTGGTCGTGGAACATGTAACCATGGTATTTACCCATGGGACCCTCTGGCACCTTCTTCGAGGTACTGATGCGGCCCTCAATGACCATCTCGGCATGTGCCGGCACAAGGAGATCGTTGGTCTCGCACTTGACGACTTCCATCGGGCTGCCGCAGAGAGCCCCAATGTAGTCGTCTTCTGAGACTCCTGCAGGCAACGGCATGCCTCCCACGAACGCAGCAGCTGGAGGGCCTCCCAGGACGAGTGCCCACGGGGTATCATGTGCTCCCGAGTCTGCCCACATCTTGTGAACTTGCGCAATGTGTTGTCCAGGCATGACGGGAGCCGTCAGGGAGCGAGGTTCGCCGGCGACTTGCATGGTGCGGGAGATCGACCACGACGTCCAGGCCTTATCTGGCGACTGCAGGATGTGGAAGCCGTATGTTGCAAGGTAGTTCCCCCCATCGTTGGCATGCAGAGGGGGAATAGGCCACTTGCTCAAATCGACCTGGTCTCCTCGCAGAATGTTCTGCTTGCAAGCTGCTTCTGACGCGGAGACCGTCACTGGTGGCAGTGGCTTCGCGTTTCTGGTCTCGATCAGCTTCTCAACGATCTCCCGCGCGGTACTGGTAACTGGAAGCCCCAGCTGGAGCGCCATTCTGCCATAGCGCTCCTTTTTGCTCTTGCGCAAGCCAACTGGGGCACCAAGGATCTTGAACAGCCCGCTCTTAGGATCCGCGCCAGAGACGTGATGGAAAAGCGGTGCTGGCGAGAGCGTTTCGTACACTCGACGGGTCACGGCAGCGACCTCTAGGTGTGGGGAGACGGGCTCCTTGATGTCGACCAGATCGCCTTGCTCGCGCAGTGCAGAGAGCAAGGAGCGGAAGTTTAGATGGGGTGCTTGGTTTGCCTTGCTGATTTGCGCTGTTGAGATACGGTGCTCGGAGCGTAGGGCTCTTCGATAGTTTCGACATTACGTTCAGCATACTGAAGTCCTCCAGAGAGAAAAGACGAGAGTGATATTCAATTAAATTCTACCAGTCGAAGGAGTCTATGAAAGGAAAATGTTCCAGAAGCTTGGAGTAATGTCACTGGGATTATGCCAACGTCTACAAACAGCACATATATACTTGTGCGCACCTAGGATATGTCATTTCGATGCAGACCCGGGTAGCTCGGCACAGTCTTCAGCATATCACCCTCCATGTCTCTAATAGAGGAGATCTCACGAGATTCGGAAAACGGGCAGCCAGAATGGTCGGTACGAAACACTTCGCATACAATCTCGGGACAAATTCCGGTCCTCTCCACCGAGAATCTTGAGAACTGTAGAAACAGCTCTCGATAATGAGTAGGATTATGGCACATGCCAGAGTTATGTCATTGATACGTAGGCCCATTAACTATCTTGCGATGTTGCATGATGTTTCGAGGACGGGGTGAGTTCTGTCGGGGGAAATCGGGAAGCCGCCGTCGGAACGCTCCCGACAACCCGATATCACGTTCATCCCATGTATATTCCTGTCCAGCTGGTTCCAATAATGCTGCTCAGGATTGGTAACACGCTACGATAGAGCCTAGTGCTCTCCTATTCATGCCTTCCGGAAGATACGGACGGAATCTCTGCTGCTGGTTGTTGGATTAACTACGATATCAGGACTGTGGCGAGAACCGTAGAAAAACAAAAGGACACTGCCTTGAATGAAACATGTTTGTACATGGCCATAACTGTCCCATATTCCACCAATCAGAATGTTTTGAGTAGTCACGGTAGGGATAGGGATGAGTGCCATGGTATGGAAGGGTAGATGCCACGAGAAAAGATATTAATAACAACTACCGGATTGTTTACTCTTATTACCCCGAAGAGGGGGGTTATAATAAGCGCCTCATTCTACAAACATGTAAAGTAGAGTATGAAAACAAGCAACTTTACGATGAGTTTTGGACAAGGCGAGGATATCCAAGAACATTTGGTTTGCTCGTTGAGCTGATCAAGGTCTTGTTTCCAAACCTGCTTGGTTTTTGACATGTTAATCCCAAACAATCGCCATGTTGTAGGTCAGGGTTTGATGCTACAAAATTCGTTTATTTCTCCCTGATGGAAAGGTAGCAATGCTTTTCAGTGATGTAATCTATGTCTATCCCTACCACTTCCAGCATTAATATTAATTACGGTGCATTGCCCTGGCCTCAAGGGATCCATATAAAGGCCTTTAATTTAAGCATATTGGCAGAAAGTACATCCTTCTTATCGGGCGCAAAATCAAGCATGCGACACATACTGTAGGCACTCGGCTCCAAACCCGACGGTAAGACCGGCATTGAGCTCGGCCTGGCGAGGTTTGCATAGTGATGGATGAATGCCGCTATCCGACCTTGACGCCAGGCTGAATAGTTCCCAAAATGGAGGTATTTGTCCAATGCGATAACTACATATCTTAGGTGTGCTTGTCGGTCTTGATGTTTCTGTCCCAGTAGAAAACACCAGAACGGCCAAAGAAGAATGTTCACCCATTGTAGCCGCCTGTCACAAGCAGCAAGCACCTTCGTTTCCAGTTCAGTTCGGTCAAACCACGCCATATCAACTGCGAAAACATTCACCCAACTTTGTTTATCATGGCTTCGTGTCCATCAAAGATTGTCCACCGCCCATCGCGCTACTTTCCACAATGCCCGCCATTACTCCTCGGACACGAGCACAACTGCTGCCTCTCTTAATCCCTCGAAAGGTCAATTCTGTCCCTCAAGCGGCCTTCGCTACAACCGCCTCATCATTGGCATGACAGGAGCGACAGGAGCCATCTAGGGCATCACTGCACTCCTATTCCTGCGCCGCCTGAGCGTCGAAACACACCTCATCATGTCCAAATGGGCACAAGCGACAATCAAATACGAAACATCCTACTCAATTCCTGATGTCGCCGGTCTTGCGACTGGTCGCACCTGGTCAATAAGCGACATGGCCGCGCCCATGAGCAGCGGGTCCTGGAAGTGCGATGGGATGCTAATCGCACCCTGCAGCGTGAAGACCCTGGCTGCTATCCGGGCCGGATACGCTGAGGACTTAATCTCTCGCTCAGCGGACGTGTGTATCAAGGAACGGAGACCGCTTGTGTTGGTAGTTCGGGAGACGCCGCTGAGCGCAATTCATTTGAAATATGCTGGCATTGTCAAAGTTGGGCGTAATTATTTTCCCCGCCGTACCGGCCTTCTATGCCCGGCCGAAAGGGTTGGACGACGTTGTGAACCACAGCGTGGCAAGGATAATGGACTGTTTTGGGATTGACCCGGAAGGATTGATGCCAGAGGAGGGGAGGTGGCACGGATTTCGGAAATAGTCGTTACTTCTTCTCTCTCATTTTATTTAACTGCATAGAGAATACCTGTATGTGAGAGTTTTGCTAAACAGTAATAATGAGACCATGTCATAATGACCGTGATTGTATATAAATATATATAATTATCCGTCTGCACACCTTCGATAGATTTCCCAAACCCTCCATTATAGTTTCAACATGGGCCTTAGGGCTGGCAATATATATATATATCGACGACTGATTATTTTATTAATGTATCGAGCCTTCATCTCATTTTCTTGTTCTAAAATGACTACAAATGCTGTGATCGAGCTCTGGATACGCTTCCTACGCTGCTGTTTGCCAATTTCTCCTGTGACTGTCCCTCCAATTTCCCATCTGATTCTGTCAATATTCGAGCCTGCGTCGAAGACCACCCTGATGCCACGCCTTCTAATCCCAATGCGTTGACAAGTCTCTGCCATGATACAATCCCCCTCTTTGCATGTTCCTCCGGCGTGCGACTATCCGGATTAGCCAACGTCCGTGAAAAAAGCTCCAGGGACACCCATCCATTCCTGAACCCTACATCATTGAAAAAGGCTCGAGCGATATCGACCACGGGGAGATATCCGCCACGGTCCTCCTCGAAGGCAAACAACCGGGCATTGCGTGACCAGCTCATTCGGCTCGGCTGGCCGGGGACATGGAATTCATGACCCTCGATGAGTGGCGACGACAATCGCTCTCCATCAACGACTTGTACAAAGAAAATCTTCTTCGGGTCGACGATATGACCGAGTCGTGCGATCGATACCGTCAGATCGGCGTCTGCATTGGGGTTTTTCCCATCTGGCGAAGTTGGATCTGCGTATATGCGGCCAGCGATGTTGAATGTATCGAGGCAAATGCCAAAATTAGGCCGATCAACCCGGCACACGACGTCCCAGCACGCCTCCCAGGTGTCGATATGGTTGCCCCACGCGAGTGACTCGTATGCGAATCGAAAAGGGGGCGACTCTTTCAAACCAAGGTCCGCAATCTCGCGCAGATCACTCACGATCACATCGATATTGCCCGTCGTCCTGGGAAGACCGGTCTCCGGATCGGGCGGGAGGAAATTGGATGGAACCTGAATGAGATCCGTCCGCAGTCGTCGCGCAATTTTGAACCATAGTGGCAGTCGTTCCGATACTTGACGGGCATGCTCATCGCGGTCAAGAAGGCCTTCATAGAACAAGAATGGTTGCAGACAGACTACCTCAAGACGGAGGGACTCGCACAGTTGTTGGACTTGAGACGCTGCTTCGAGGATGCTGATCTGGTTGGACCGGGCAAAAATCTTTATGTCCTCGAAGAATATTTCGATCCCTTCAAAGCCGTATTGAGATGCTTGTCGTAGCTTTCCTGGCAGGTCGTGAACTCCTGGTCGTCCCAGGGACATGGATGCAATAGCTGGTCGGAGTGGCATGATTCCATAGACAGTTCTAGATCATGAAACTTGGTAACTGAAAATATATATTGTTCGTCAAAGTCAGTAAGTCTTGGAGGCGTTCTCAAATTTATTGATATCACGATAGGAACGCGACTAAGGATATACAATCGATGACTTACAACGATAGTTGCTTCGTGGTCGTTAAGACTGTGGCACCAATATATCTAACTGATCTAAGATATATACAAGAGCAGAGGTAAAGATACGATGACCATTTGTTCAGATCATAAGATAGCACCAGACAACATTTTCGATCAAACTGTACTAGGTGGCTCCAAAGTCCCAAACATATACAGTACCGACAATATCCTTTTTCCTACTGTTACTGCGTCATGTCACCCGACGGAGAAACGCAAATGTCGAGAGATAGGATAAGAACAACAAGGACAGAAGCGTAAAGGATTTTCCATCTCCATGTCTGATACATACCAGCATCTACCAAATACGATGATGGTTGTGGAGTTTCTTCCTTCGCTTTGCATCGGATGTTCAACTGAAACAAACTTAGCTGATAGAGAGATTAGTAGCGTGGAGTTATCCTTTATCCCCGGAATAGCGCTTTGCCGTCGAAGACGGGCTTTCCCCGGATGGACACTTCTCCAGTTATCGAACAAGGTTCAGCAGCGACTACAGACATTTAACAAGCTAAGTACGGTTGTGGATAATTTACACTCTCCGTTTAACTTTCCCAGGGGTCGTGAAAGCAATTATCATGGCTGAGTTGTAGCTCTCCCCACTTCTCCACCTCCACGAGGACAGAAACCGATCATGCAGGATCAGTGTCGGACGGATTGTTAGGAGGCAATCAAACGTAAAATGATTTCCAAAAACTTAATTAGTTTCCTGTGGTATAACTCTCATCACTCTCTTGGGTGATTTGGTTCCTATAAGAACGTATTGTTTGACTTTGATGCTCTTCTCACTGCAACATCTGCAATCTGTTGTGGAATTAGTTGATTGCAATCAATAAACCCAAATTGTCTATATAAATTGTATTGTTCTTCATGATTAAAGTGGCCATTATCGGCGGCGGTCTCATCGCCCCTCGACACGCCCAGGCGGTGATTTCCAATCCATCCACCGAGCTCATCGCACTTGTCGAGCCATCTTCAACGGGTCCCGAGACAGCTGCGAGATTCAATACTCGTCATTACTACTCCGTTTCGGCGTTGCTCGCAGATGAACAACACAAACCTGACGCGGCCATCGTCTGCACGCCCAACCACACCCACGTTGCCGTCTCACAGGAATTACTCGCAGCTGGGGTGCACGTCCTCGTAGAAAAGCCTATCAGCAATGACATCGACAGTGGGCGGACTCTCGTGCAATATGCCCAGCAACTAGAAAACAAGAAAGGCCATGTGAAGTTACTTGTGGGCCATCATCGCCGCTTCAATCCCTATCTCGTTAAGACGAAGCAAATCGTCGACTCTGGGTCATTAGGACGGATTATCGCGATCAACGGCCTCTGGACCATCTTCAAACCGCCAGAATATTTTGATCCTCCTACGGAATGGCGTCGGTCCAAGGAGTCTGGTGGCGTTATTCTCATCAATCTGGTGCATGACATCGATCTTCTGCATTACCTGTTCGGCCCGATTGTTCGAATTCACGCTGAACGAGTTGCTAAGCAGCGTCAACCACCGCATGATGCAGACGAAGGGGCTGCGTTGACTCTGAGATTTGTCTCCGGCGTCGTGGGCACCTTTCTCGTGTGCGACGCAACGCCTTCACCGTACAACTTCGAGACTGGGACGGGAGAGAACTTGGCGATTCCCAAGATTCCAACCAATGGACCTGATCATAATCCTTCCAGTCCTTCTGCCAGTTTCTACCACATCTTTGGCTCCGACGCCTCGCTCAGCGTGCCGAACATGACCCGGTGGAGTTACGATGGCCGCCAGAGTAAATCGTGGACGCAGCCGCTGACCGTGGAGAAATTTGATGTTGACGATTCGGCGACACCGTATGACCTGCAACTGGCGCACTTTGTAGACGTGATTCGTGGGAACGCAGAACCGAGCTGCTCTGGAGTCGCGGGATTGCAGGCGTTGATTGTGTGTGACGCTATCCGAAAAGCGTTGGAAAGTGGTGAGACAGTTAACATCGATATATAGTTGTGTAAAGGCCGAAAGTAGGTCATGTCTGGACGGGAAATAAAATTGAAGTATGTCTTTGACTAATTCTGTCAATCGTGATAGTCTTTCAACTATTGATTTACTTCCATAATACTTTAGTATTATATACAAACTACTACATCTCTCTTGTCCAACTTGACACAATCTAACATCCGCCAGCCAAGTTACACCAGCTCAGCTTGTACTTATACCTTCAAGTCAGCATCCTCCACATGCACCGGCTGATCTTCAACCCTGCGCTGTGTCTTTTCGTCTCGAGTCGTTATTCCCGACTCTTTAATCTCATGCCGGAAGCGCTCCTCATTCTCCCGGATTTTGGAGAGAACAATCCCGTGGGCTCGCGACACCGGCTTCGTAGCAAAGAGTAGGTCCATACTTTCCAGCGGGATGCCTTTGGTCTCGGGAACGAGGAAAAACACAAAGAAGATAGACAGGATCATCAAAGAGGCGAAGAAGAAGTATACACCGTAGTCCATTGCTGCAAACATCTGGGGCGTGAAGCGGGAGATCAGGAAATTCCACAGCCAATTCGAACCGGCGGCGCAGGCTTGGGAGAGGGAACGCATGTTGGGATCGAACATTTCCTGTTATTTCCCACAAGAATCACTGGTCAGCTTTGGAGATGGACGAGGTTAGAATTGGGATCGTGACTCACCGCGTTTGCCACCCAAGGCGTTCCGTTCCACGACGGAGTGTAAAAGACAGTCCACAGATAGAAGAAAAACATGGCGGCAATACCGCCACCCGTGATAGATTCCGACTGATTCTTACTTGGCTGCGCGATCTTGATATATCCTCCCAGAATCCACATACAGATCGAGCCCCCCGCGGCCCCGACCATCAGCAGCATCCGTCGTCCCATATGGTCGATCAGATACAGCAGCCAGACAAACGTGACGGCCGTCTTGACGCAGCCAAAGACACCCGTGGTGAGCAGACTTGAGTTTGTCCCCTTGACACCGATGCTCTTGAACACGGTCGGACTGTAGTAGTTGATCGCGTTGATGCCCGACCCGTTCTGCCATAGGAAAAGCGTGCTTCCTAGGAAGAGTCGCCACATCACCCGGCGATTCGTCCCGGCGGCCTTGAACGGCTTCCAGAACCCGATTCCGATGGTGGCCCGTTGCTCTTCGATCGCCTGCTCAATGGCTCCAAGCTCCTCGACCATGTAGATGTGGTCCGGCTCAAGCTGCCGGATCCAGGCCAAGCTGCGGACGGCTTCCTCGCGACGGCCGCGGAACATCAGCCAGCGAGGGGATTCCCTAATAAACAGGGCGCCGATGATCAGAAGACCAGAGGGGATGAGCTGGACAGCAAACGGGATGATCCATTGTCGATGGCTCGGTGGGAGGGTGGTCGACACGCCATACTGGCATCTCGTCAATACGATTACAGATACGATATCACGGATGAAGGTATACTCACGTTGATCCAGAAGCCAACCAAACCACCAATTTGCCATCCCAATTCGTACACGCCGACCAACCGGCCTCGAACCGCCGGAGGCGCCAATTCCGAAATGTAGATGGGAGTGAAATTCGAGCCTGCCCCGACACCTAGTCCAGCAAGGACTCGGCCAGCATAGATCAGACCCAATCCGCGCTCGCCATTGGCGCCCAGCATCAAGCCCGATCCGAGGGTGAAGACAATCGCTGAAAGGATGAGGCCGATCTTGCGGCCCCAGAAGTGCCCAACGGGGTAGGCCAAGAAAGCACCGAAGAAAGCGCCGGCCTGGTAAAGCGACACAATATTTGCAGAAAGGAGATTCTTCTCTGCGGTCGTTTTCTGGTCGAAATGGAACTCCTCCTGGAAGGACGGCAGCGCGAGAGTAGTGCCGATGAAGGCGCTGTCGTAGCCGATCATGCAGGATGTGAATGACGCGACAGCAGCGAGGAGGTAGATTCGCCAGTTGTAGACTGCCTTGGGGGTCGGCCGGTCTTCGACCAGTTTGAGGATTGACATGATGCAGACTCGTGTTTGCCGTAACTCAACCAAGGGAACACGTAGAGTATAATGCGAATTGCAAAATCAGGCAGCTGAGAAGAGGTCCAGATTGATCCAAAACACGTGAAAAGAAACCCCTAGAAAGGGATATCTTTATGGGGCCGAAGTTCCCTCAATCAGAAAGAGGGCGTCAGCGTCAACAACGCTGGCTGCTATGGATGGAGATGAACTCGCCTTGCCATTAATAGTCAGACCCAAATACCATGTGCGAGATCATAAACATCGACGACGATGGAGTTCGTCGATCCGGGGAAAAGGGTTTTGCTCGTGGCCCAGCCCCGGAATGCAGTGAGATCCTGTGGAGTAAAAAAACACCTGATTTAATTATAATTAGCCAGTTAGACAGAAGGAAGTCGATATTCCGTCTGCATTTTGTTAGCTTGATTAAACTCAATTGAATTGCCTTGGTCAATTCGTCCACTGTTGTCGTGCGGAGTTTGTCCGACATCGCTGCTAATCGTGCTGCTCGGCCCCGAGGATCAGCGCCTGTGCTGCAGAGATTTCCCCATATTCTCATTCCGGGGTGCGTTGTGTGGAGAGCAGCAGTGTGGAGAAACTGTGGAGGAAGGGCAAAAATTCGGTCTTTGCTGCCGCGCGGTAGGAAAAAACGCTTTTCCCGGGAAATTTGTTCTCGCAGAGAACTTACTGATGGAGACAGCAATTCTATCTATCCCATTATGGGTCACCACAATCATTTTTAGATGATCGTAACGCTGTTTCCGGTATGTGTAATCAGAATAGTAATTGGTAGAAAAACAAAACGTCAGCCTCAGGATGACGTTGAAGATAGGTCAATTTCAACTACGATAAAGAAATATATAAACGTTTATCCGCGCAAGACAAAGTTCCGGCTCCCCAAACAGTGCAAAGCTACAACAATACATCATCGCTGAGCAGCTCTACAAGATCACATATTGACTTTTTTCTTGCTTTTCTTTCCATGTACTATCTTCGAAGAATTAGCTTTCGTTAGTGATTTTTCCTGGGTAGAAATCACACCGACTACATGTTTACATCCCGGATACCAGACATTCTAAAGTCCATGCTTCCACGAGACTAATTTATACACCATCCGCTGCTTCTCTGATTCTTTAACGTCGTCATATCCATTTCTCAAAATGGCAACCTCTCAGATATCGTCTCAACAACCGAAATCACCTAACGAAGAACCGATCACTTCGCCATCTCATCTCGATGGCGTCGTCTATCTATACGGTCACCCGCTCCTGGGCTCGCTGTCACCTCTGCTACACCAGACAATCTACGATGCCCTCGGCCTGAATTGGAGACAGATCCCACTCTCCGTATCGGACACTTCGGCGCCCACCTTCCCACCGCCGTACACGCGATCGCCTCCCATCGAGACCTTCCTCACGCAGACGCGGGCAAACCCCAAATTCGTCGGGTCTTCCGTCACAATGCCCTGGAAAGTGAGCATCATGCCGCATCTGGACGAATTGACAGACGAGGCGAAGCAGTGTGGTGCCTGCAACACCATCTTCATTCGCAAAGACAATGGAAGGCGAATCTTCGTCGGAACCAACACCGACTGCGTCGGGATAAGAGAAGCCCTGCTACAAAATCGCCTGGCGAAATACGTCGACGCAAAAATTTCTAACCCCTACCAGGACAAACCTGCCCTGATAATCGGGGGAGGTGGTACTGCTCGCGCTGCCATCTACGCATTGCGGACGTGGCTCGGCGTCAGCAAGATCTATATCGTCAACCGGGACGCAGCCGAAGTAGCATCCATTCTTGCCAAGGAAAAAGATAGACCTGAGAATGTCAGAGATAAAGCTGAAATTATCCATATCACGGATATCAGCCAAGTTCAGAGTGCAGAGTTCGAACCCCCCGAAGCGATCATCTCCGGCATCCCGAACTACCCTCCCAGAACACCAGAGGAGATTCGAACAAGACGGATCATCGAAGCGGTCCTACAACGAAGTTCGAATAGCAAAGAGAAAGGGGTCGTTCTGGAGATGTGCTATCATCCGCTGCCGTGGACGAACATCGCCGAACTGTCCTCCCAGGCAGGGTGGAAAGTCATTCTCGGAACCGAAGCACTGATCTGGCAGGGCTTCGAGCAGGCAAGACTGTGGACGGGGAAGGATGTCGCCTCGCATCCCGGTTTGGTGGAACGAGTCAAGGAGCTGATTGAGAAGGAGATTACAAAGAGGTTGAGAGAGATGAAGCAGAAATTATAAACTGATCCCTTATCGTGGGACATGATTCGCATGATTATGTTTTGGTAGAGTTTAGACATCATGCATTGTATAGACTGGCATAGTATATTATCAACAGAGCAATTTATTACGCCGAATAAAACATGCCAGATAAGTGTCTATTCAGGCTACGCCCCAGGCCGTGAGTAATCCAGTTGCCGAACACGCCGCCATACTTCCCGGACAGTTCTTTCCTGACTTTGCCGGCCGGTCTCAGTTCGGGACGGCCCTGCTGGTCTGAGACAACAATGTTAGCTCAGACTTGAATACTGGTAGGATAAGGCATCGCAAGTGGAAGTGTCTCTTCAATTCCACTTACCTTATTGCCAAGTATAGTCGGCTCCCCAGTCGAACGTCTTCAATCGGAGCCGTATCCGGATCTTCGGGGGGATTGGCCGTCGTGACCAAACCGCCTGCTTCGAGTAAGATGGCGATGCCGGCCGCAACGTCCCTAGATATGGTACTTAGATCAGAAAACGATTTTGAATAGACGAGCAGGTATGTGTCTAACCACTCCCAACATCCTCCTTCCCACCAGATATCAAACGATCCCATCGCCGTGTACGCCAGATCCATCGTCGCACTACCCAGACTCCGAACCCCATGAACCATCCCTCCTTTCCCTCCTCGACCCCCAATCTCAGCAGCCATGTTGAGAAAACTGTCTACTTTGCGATGCAGATTTCCACCAGGGATATCCCGACGGTCCTTGCCCCACTCGCACGCAAAGATGCACTTTCTCGGTGCGTCAGCAGGCATCGGGGGTATCGACGGCTTGCGGATGAGAGGGAGTTGGATTTTCTCATTCAACCAGGCGCCACGACCTCTGCACGACGAGAAGAACTGGTTCTGAAACGGGGCATAGATGACGCCGATAACGGGTCGGTGATCGAGGATGAAGGCAATCGACACGCAAAACATGGGGAAGCAATGAGTGTAGTTGACGGTGCCTGTCGGGCCTCAATATCGAACCCCCATTGCATTATACATAGCCAGGATGCGCATGTCACCAACCATCCAAAGGATCAACGCACCAGGTGGGCTGGGCATCGATCAGATACTCGCGGGATTGCCCTTTGGAATACGTCTCTTCTCCGAGGAATCTACCAATCTCAGCCAGAGTCTTCTGGTATTATGAACTTTGGAAATTTAACTGACTTGTGTGACGGATATTTTTCATGGATCGTTGTTCGGATGAATTTCTCCACATCTGATGGCGCAGTTATTAGCATGGCAACATTTCCCCCTCCAAAACTTATAATAACAGGCTTCAATGATCTCTTTCGGATATCCTAATAAGAACTCTGAGTCGAGTGAATACGTACCCTCGTCAACTTGTGTCACGATATCGACCGCATTATCCTTTTCGGCAAATGCCAGGTGTGTCGAATCTGCATGAGTGCCCGTCACTGTGCCAACCCCATCGATGCGACTCTGGACGCCGTCGAGTAATATCTTGCCCGCCCGCTTCCCCAGATCGACGGCAAAGGTGTAGATCTCGTCTAGGTCTTCCGGGTGGAGTTTAGAAGTGGGAGGAATAGTCATGATTTGCTAGGAGTTCAGTCAGTCGAAGCAATATGGAATAAGACTATCTGGAGCATGGGCTTCAAATTAATGAATGAGAAAATTGATATGAATACAGGAACTTGTAGAGGATGAAGGAATGCTTGCTTATCGTAACATTGAGTCATGGTTGGATTCAACTGGCCGCGGATAGCCGATGGGATTTCGTTCTTCCACTTAGGACTCCACCAACTGCTCATGCTATCTCTTTCCTTACACATTCACAAGTGTCTCTAAATTCTTCCTGTACTGTACAAGTAGTATTCTGGTTATTGTGCTAGTTACAACTTTTCAGCCCTTGACCGAAAATTCACCGCCACGTGCTCCACCGCGACCTTGTACCCATATACCCCCAACCCCCATAATGACGGCCGCCGCCTTATCGCTGAAATAGCTATGATGGCGAAACTGCTCGCGGGCGTGGATATTGCTGATGTGAAGCTCAACGAACGGGATGTCCACGCCCAGGAGGGCATCACGGATGGCAACCGACGTGTGCGTGAAGCCGCCCGGGTTGATGATGATGCCGTCGACATGGCCCCTGGCAGCCTGGATGCGGTCGATAATGGCGCCTTCGTGGTTGGATTGGAATGTCTCGAGTGTGGCGCCCAGCGAGGCTGCGTGTTGCTTTGCGGATTCTTCGACGTCTGCCAGAGTTGTGTGTCCGTAGATATGTGGTTCGCGAGTCCCGAGGAGATTCAGGTTGGGGCCATTAATGAGGAGGATGGATTTGCCTTTTCCTGGGCCCATGTTCTTCGTCTTCTTTTTCTGCCTTTCTTAACGGCAGGAGGCTTTGGAGGTTTAGATTATTTATATTGAGGAGTTTTCCTAGCAGTAGTAATAGAAAAGATAATTCGGGAGTATGACGTGCTTGCTGATCTGATTAATTTGGAACAAAAATATTATTTTCTGAATCAGTGTTCTTTTTCTTATTGCAATCCAGAATGAGATATCTGCTATTATTAGCAAGAATAAACTATCAGTCCAAAAATAAGACCCGGATCGGAAGAAAGACCTTGTATCTGTATCTCCTATGATTACACAGAATCTGTTGATTTAATTACTGTGTTTTTCCACAATATTCCTAAAATTACCCAGGGAAACGATGGATACAATCTAGCATGCTGATGTGGGGACTCACGCATGGGCGATGGGGTATAGTTGGGGAAAACGCTTTGCCGGGGAATATTCCTATACGGGTTATACTGTACCGACGTCGGAGTATTTTTCCACGAAACTATTGAGTACCATCTCTTGTAGATGCTGCTGGTGCTATTAATCTAAATTCTACGTTTCATATATGTTTACTTTGATATTGGCGTAGTAAGTTGAATCTCAATCAGACCGTCAAACGCTGGCGCATATGTCGGAATAGGTTATTGTATTGGTATCTATATACTACAAATATGGAGACTATACTAAGAAATATTCCCTCCACGCCGCTGCTGTGGAGACATTAACAAAGCGTCCAGGTCATTATACTCGGAAAAGAGGTCCGACACCCCCGCGTTAGGCGCAAATCCCAGATTCTGCATGAACTGAGGCTGGTTATCGACCCTGAAGAGACATCAGTTCTCATTCCCCCAAAGATATAAGTAGAAGATGGGAAACTTACTTGTCCCCTCCGTCTAATGATGCCAACTCATCGAATAAGGCGTCCAGATCTGGCGCAATCTGAGGCCTCTGCTGACCGTATCCATCAAGGTCAACGTGGAGGGAATTCAGACCGTCGTTTGAATTGCTCAGGAGTTGTCGATAAGGGGCCTCTGTAGGACGTAACGCAAACGTCGGATCGGGTGTCATCATCATGCTCGAACTATTGGGAGGCGCGGACGGATTTGCGCCTCTTAACTGGTCGTTGACGGAGGAGCTTCTTTGAGATGGCTGTACGGAGACTTGACTGTCTGGGACCAAGGATGGACATGGCGTCTCAAGAGACTGCTGTTTATCATGGACATTCGACAGAATCCTCGACCAGTTGGGTGAATTGTTCGAATTGGGAGATATGATGACTGGAGAGCCATTTTCCGACAAGCTGGCTGTCTGGTTTCCCTCTCGTGTATTTGGTGTGAATGTCTGTCTTCGCGAAGCAGTCCTGTCCAAGTAACTTGAGGTCTCTGCTCGACCTGAGAAACCTGCTGGCACTGATGCTGAGTCCGAGTTCGTCTCTCGCCTAGGCCGTGGTTGTCCCGCCCAAACACGGCTAAGCTGAGTATGTAGGGAACTGAGACTTTGGCGCAGCTCAGAGACAGAGGCGGGCATTCTGGGATTATCGCAGACGTACTTTGTACAGTCCGCCAAGTTGAGAAGTAATATAAAGACGGGGGATGTTACTGCAACGCCGTAACTTCTGATGTATAGCTGCAATATAGAAATGCAGCGCGAGCCTGTCAGGAGACGATTTTCCTGCTCCGAGACAGAACCCAAATCTGTTGCTCGATGCCGGCTTACATGGACATAAAATGCCGTGGCGATGCTCTCATATGCAATGTGAAGACACAAAACATGAGGCGGAGAAGGAGAAGATTGTCCTGGTGTGAAGTCAATCCGGCAAGTCTTTGGTAGTTCAGCAAGCCATCGGTCCATATCCTGGCCAATAAGCCTCAGCCGCGATACAGTGCTGTTCCGGTCTTGCTTCCAGTGACAAATATCATTTAAAATGCAGCAGAGGGAGACCAAACGGTTAAAGGTGCTCAATGCTAATAATGGCCAGCGACGAAATAATTCGCGAGATCCTCTTCCTGAGACCAGACTGCTCGGTTCCTCCCAAGGATGCCATTCATCCAGACCGTCTTCGTCCAGAAAGCCAACACTTGTCACATGCTCTTTTTGCAGTTCCGGTAGCCTCCCTAACTGGCTTGCAAGCAGAGTTTCGAGCACAAAACAACCGAGGAAGACATGTTTTCGTCTGGTGTTTAGTTTCGAATCGGAAAACGCCTCAGATTCGGCGGTGCCTGGTTGATCTAGCCCAAGCACGGATGAGATGCGAATGGCCTGGCCGATAAGCATCCAAGCCGCTGTCCAGTCCTGCTGGCCCAGCTTGACCAACGTAAGGATCAGTAATGCTTGGACATGACCGATTTCAAAATTCCCCGTCTCAGACGGTATTAAATTTCTGGCCAGGGCATATAACTCGTCAGGAAGTCGACTGTCATGGGAGCCTCGGGTCTCGTCATTACGACTAGCGGACGCGTCTTGAAAGGAGGTGAGAGTTAATATAGCCCACATCGCGGCATGATTCCCAGAACCGCGAGAGTCACAGGAAACCTCTAAGTTCCCTTCATTATAACAGAACGCGGTGCGGAGGATGTCATGCTTCTCAATGATGGGTAGCCAGCAATGTGTGTATGCGAAATATATGTCGAACAAGTGCCATGCTTTGGCTGGGAGGCTCAGCCCTGACATCAGACTGCGATCTGCACTTGGGAAACTCAAATGATTCCCCGAGTTCATAGCTGCAGCACTTGCCACATGTCCCGGAGGTTGTTCGTTCGAGACAGTTTGTGTAGCGACATCGCAGTAATGACGCTCTTGGGGTCGTCTCAAACTCGCGCCATCTAACGAGGGTGGATCTGGAGTAGCAATGTTGACGGTAATATCATTATAAATTCGCCTCATCCCCTCTGGAACCTGCCATTCGGCATCTTTTAATGCCGGCAAATTGAACACCTCAACAGGTCTCGAAGTGGCCTCTCCGCCGTCATCCAAGTTTGTCGTTCCCGAATCCCCGTCAGATTGTTCAAGTGCAGTCAGCAGTCTCTCAATCTCTTTCAGCACGATGCTGTTCTTCCATCCAGACAGGAACGAGTCAGGATTGTCACCCTCCTTGTTCATCGTGGCTAAGTGACCGGGTATGTTCACTGTCCTCAGAAGGACACGAACAACGTCCTCACTGCCCTTGATGGTGGAAAAAACAGCACCCCATAACAGCTCCAAGGTTCGGATATATCCGGTTGGCAGGCCTCGTTTCTTCGGATTCGATTTGTAGGAACAGGATCGTTTCAGGAAGGTGCAGGTGGAACAGGTGGGCCGAGCGCCGTCACACTTGTCTTTTTTGCTGCGGCACTGATCACAGGCTCTAGAAACACGCTGTCGCTTTGGAGCGTCATCCTCATTCTGCCTGCTTTCTCCTTGCGTATCTGTCAATCGCCGTTTAGGTCTGCTGCTGCTTTCTGATATCTGCCCTTCAGTCGTTCCTCTTGTTGATCCATCAGTGATGGGCTGTTCCTCACGCATGTTTTAAGCCCAGGGCATATGAAAGGGGATATAAAGCAAGTATTTCCGGTGACTTGTCAACGCGATGATCATTACTCCGGCCCCGCACACACAGATGCGGGGATGATTGAGAGAGATTCTTGACCGATGAATAAATCTCTAAAAAGGTGAGACCGGAACAACTCTCCTTCTCATCGGAAGATAAGCTTTGTCGTACACTCGCAGTCAAAAAGACGTGTCGATGTCGGTGGTAATCCCACGACGCGGGCACAGCGGTGCTTGTGCAAGGCCGATTCCATCGAAGTCAAGCATATGATGGCATAGATGCAGACCCCAGCAATTAAATGACCTGCATTTTCGATGCAATGCGCTTGATTGGCGGCTGTCAACGGTCTGCAGATTTTGAAGGTGTTCGCAATGGACTGTGCACGAGTTCCCCGTGGGGAAGAGACGAACGGTCCGGCTGAAGAAAACTCCGCCACGTGGGTCGCCTCTCGCTCCGGAAAACGGAATCTCTGCCGAAGGAGCGACGACGCCATCTTGCTGCACAGTCGATCTTTCTTCATTCTTGTGTGGCTCGTTTCTGATATTTCGAGGGAATAATGATATCTGAGTTAGGTGGCGTCCATATCTAATGGTGTTCTGGATGGTCTGCGCTCCCTGCGAACCGCGTTCGCACCTTTCGAAATTGTACGCATGATTTATGACCGCCAGTGGTGGAGGAGACTCAGGATAGCGTCGAAATCATACAACCAGACATGTCTGTCTTGGCGAGGGGTGCAAAGAGAAAATGGGCGGATGTCGAGGCAGTCGAAGACAGATGCTATCCTTCCGCAAGTCATCTACGACACATTCCTCAATCCCATAATCGGCAACTGGTGACGTCCAACAGTGAGAGAGGCCCAGCGATCGAAGGAACAGAGAGGTTTTCCAATGCACCAATCCCCGATGACTCTCACCTACTGTCCGAGTCTCTGTCAGAGTCGGCCTCCGGTTTTGCATCGCCGACGCCCGTGGATTCTGGCACAGGTCCCTCCAGGCGATTCGATCCTAATGCCTCTGTCGTCTTGATCGGACTGCGTGGAACCGGAAAGTCGAGCTTAGCTGTTATCCTTTCAACGGCAACAGGCAGGCGACTGGTAGACGCAGACCAATTCTTCCAGCAAGTGACGGGCTTGTCTCGTTCCGCGTACAAGAAACGACATACCATTGCCCAGTACCGGAGGGAAGAGGCAAAAGTGATGAGTTTAATGCTGACAGATAATCGTGAAGGATGTGTCATTGCCTGCGGACCAGGGTCCATGGAGCGCAGCGGGCAACAGCTTTTGAAAGAATATGCAAAGACGCATCCCGTGATCCACGTCATTCGAGACCCGGATAGCATCCAAGCATATCTCAAGGCCTGGGACAGAGACCGAGTATGTAATTTCATGGAGCTATCTGGACCGTTGTACCGGGCATGCTCCAACCTTGAGTTCTTCAATGTCTCCGAAACGGGATTTGAATTATCGCAGAGTAGGGATGACATACAGAACGCTCTGCTGAAAGAAGAGCAAACTCAACGGAATGCAAATCAAACACCCTTCTTGACATTGAAACGAGTCGAGCGAGACTTTCTTCATTTCGTGGCTTTTGCTACAGGAAACAAGCGCGAGCTGACAAAGCTCCATTCTTCATTTCCTTTATCATTATTACCAATCGAATCCAGACGGTACACATACGCCGTTTCCGTGTCGCTTTCATCCTTATTGGACAAGGGTCTGGATGTCGAGGAGCTGGAATCCACGGCTGATGCCTTTGAGCTTCGAGTCGATGTGCCTGATGCGCCTTCCACCAATCTGGGCTTGTCCCCCGCTACTGCGGACAGAATCAGCCAGGCCGTAGCCACTGTTCGGAGGAGCATCATTGTTCCCATAATATATCATGTAGATGAGAGTCCTTCGTCTGCAGAGGAGTCTCCGTCACGCCGTTCCGATCAGTCGTATCTGAACCTGGTCGAACACGGCTTGAGATTGGCCCCGGAGTTTTTGACCGTTGATCTGTCTTACAGTGACGCCATTCTTTCCAAGATAATAGCAGCAAATGGATCGACGAGGATTATTGGTCATTACTCTTCAGTACGATCAGACTCTGCAAGCTGGGATGACGAGGAATATATGTCGAGATACGAGCGTGCTGCAAGACTGGGCTGTGACATGGTCAGAATGTCTCGACCCGCATCGACAATCGAGGATAATTTCGCCGTTCAGAGATTCCGCGATCGCGTAAACGCTTCTCACAAGTCCGGGCCGCCGATTATAGCGTACAATACGGGATCTCTCGGGCGATTATCTTGTTGCTTCAACCCGATCTTGACCCCGGTAACACATGACAGCATTCGGTCTACCTGTCAAACAGAGAAAGATGCATCCATCACTGTACGGGAAGCGCAGGTCGCGCTATTCTCGTCATTCGCTTTGGATCCACTGAAGTTTTGCGTCTTCGGGGCAAACGTGGCCTACAGTTTGTCACCTGCGATGCACAATGCAGCGTACCGAGCTTGTGGGATGCCGCATCAATACTCGCTTTACGAAGCGCCATCGTTAAGGGATCTTAATGCCCTGGTCGAGGACCCGAATTTTGGCGGAGCGAGCGTCAGCTTGCCATATAAAACAGAGGTTATCCCGCTGCTGCATTCCATGTCAAGTCACGCCCGTGCGATTGGGGCCGTCAACACCCTCATTCCTATTCGAACAACAGTCGTCCATGGTGACGGAAAAGAACCAGACCTGCACCTCTACACGAACAGAGCTGGCCCGATCAAAGCGCTTCACGGTGATAACACTGACTGGATAGGAATCTATCGTTGCATTCGTCGAGGCTTATCACCAGCGAATGCCGTGCGTCCTTCATCGACGGGATTGGTCATCGGCGCTGGCGGCATGGCGCGTGCTGCTATCTATGCTATGATCCATCTCGGCGTGCAGAATATTTTTCTGTACAATCGAACCTTGGAGAACGCGAAAAGGCTGGCAGAACATTACAATCGGCAGTACTGTGTCAGCGATACGAGACGAAAGGAAACCGAGTCGCAGACGAAGACGACAGTTCATGTGATCAAATCGCTACATGATCCCTGGCCCGCCAACTACAAGCAGCCTACCATGGTGGTGAGCTGCATACCAGCGCACAGCATTGGGGGTGTTCCAGCTCCTAATTTTGAAATGCCCCTGCACTGGCTCGAGAGCCCGACAGGAGGCGTTGTTGTCGATGTAAGCCCTGTCTGCATTACTTGCATAGTTCTTAGGCTGATCGATGTGATAATATGAATACAGCTGGCCTACAAGCCCCTCAACACACCACTCGTGAAGCAGATCCGCAGCCTCTCCCATCGCGGCTGGGTTGCTCTCGATGGTCTCGACGTCCTCCCCGAACAGGGCTTCGCGCAGTTTGAACTGATGACAGGCCGACGCGCCCCGCGGAAGCTGATGCGCGCAGTTGTGTTGAGGGAATATCGGGGCGAAGAAGGGCAATATGATCCGCGGTGGATGCAGTCGCGACTGGAGAAGCTTGGGGGCCAAGACGGATGAAATGTGATAAAAATAAAGTTAATATATCGTATGTCGCGTCCATCTGTACTCAGCTTAATGAGCCGAGCAGCGCCCTTAATTTCTTTCTTTCTTTTTTTTTGGCCTTCTGGTCTTAGAAACTTCTCAGACTGCTCTGCAGGGCGAGCTTACGTGAAGATCACCCGCGCCATTTGAATTTCCCTCCAGTGCCAAAAACCGGCGAGTGGCGCACCAGGGCCAAAGAAAATAGTTGCCAGCAGAAGCACGGCAGCAGCTCGTCCGACTGCCACATCTGTTCTCCCCATTCGCTTGAGATTTCACGCCGCAAGGCAGCACCACACAAAGGTTGCCGCGAAGAAGAGCCAGAAATCGGCGACAAAACGATTGTGAAGACCACCCACCAAGGACATGCGTGTATTATCAGTGTTTGATACGAAAGTGCGCGTAAACAAGAGTACCAGGTCCGTCGAGCGAAGGATTGTAAATACTGTGCTGAAGTGAACGAGAGCAGAGACGACGAACGATACCGAATAGATAACTCTGAGGTGGTACATGTCAGGCACGGCTCATTCGCGTTAGGAGTCCACTGTCGCTGCGGATTTAGTTTCGAATATACCGATGAGAAAGCGTATAGCAGGATATTAACGTATACTGGCGCTGGTTGCCAGAAACAATCCGGGCTTGCAAAACGCTGGGGGCGGAGTAGGGCAACAACATTAGAAGAGTTGGCAGCAGGTAGCCAAGGAGGAGTGCCGGCAATATAGTTTTAGCATAGGGCGTTGGAACCTGTCGAGACAGAGGCCACCAGTAATTCTCATCAGCTGAGGCCCAGATGTAGGCGGCGTAGTAGAGAGGTCCGACAAGAGCGAAGCCGATTGTCTGACAGAAGAGGCCCCAAATAGCGGTACTAACGAAGATAGTTAGTGGAAATATGGCTACAAGAGAAGTAGGGAGTGTTACAAACTGATAAGCGCCAATGCATTGCGTTTTCTGCATGCTTCCACAGACCACACTGCGAGCACCGTGAAGACCGAAGCAAGCAAGTAACGCTGCAGCATCTCATGGCCTTGGTCCCAGGCTGCCACGCCTGGAAGAAAGGCAATCACGAGATGAGTGAGCAGCCAGTCAACTGAATGGATGGAAGTATATGTTGATCTGAGGAAGACGTCGTTCCCGAACTTCGAGGCTTCGATTGCTGTGGTAAAATGTTTCTGCAGCCCTAGACTTGCAGGCCAGATGTGCGTCGCCTAATACCCACAAAGGGAAAACAGGATAAAGACTGCAGCTTGGAGCCAGCCGTACCACCCTCTGGGATAGATGTTCGTTGGAATGTCGTCATGGTACCGAATCAATAGCGGACGCGTTGGTAGCTTGATCATGTCCAACTTGTTTGCTTGGGGCACATTCTGTGACAGGTTAAATAAGACGGTGTCCGTGTCTATTCGCGGGAGGATTTTCAGTGCAAAGAACTTATGAACGGTGTCTCCATAGCCTCTGTGCGCTGCTGCTCATGCGACTGAGCAATAAGCTTCCTCGCTCTCGCCAGGCGGATACGTTGGACCTCGTCGAATATCGATTTAACCTGCGAAGCAGTGAGAGTGCCACACGACGACAACTTGAGTTCCATGACCAAGCTGTTGACGAGGACAGCCGCAGTCTCGATGGCAGAATTGCCCCCATGGCCAGTAATCGGTTCGAACTGAGCGGTTAGCGACAAGCCCGAAAACACCAATTCAATGCAACGACTCACTTTATGCGCAGCATCGCCGATGGTGATGATTCGACCATAACTCCACTTCTCATAGGCGTATTCCGGCAGGGCCGTCATGTTCGACGTGACCCTGTTTCTGACAAGATCGCCAAAAGTGAGGCCTGGCATGATGGGGTCGTTTTCATGCTCTTTCAACCTCCTCGTCTGGTCGTCCTTCGTGTAGCGGGGGATATTCGGGCTGTAGACTCGCTGTCCAATGTTGAAAAAGTGAAACCAAAAGACGCGGTCGTGCAAACCGCCCATTACAAGGTACGAATTGTGCTCACGGAAGACAGAGGTGAGCGTTCCAGCTTTGATGTCGGGATAAGCCTTGAGAACGACGTAGTCGATGCCGTTTTTCTGGAGCATGTTTGCTAGCGACAGGCCGGCGATGCTCCCGCCGACAATTACGGCTTTGAACGGTTTCTTGGAAGGCATTGCAAGTCGCTGGATTGTAAGAAGTGCAGGTCTTGAGTCCGCCGATCATTGACAGACTGCATAAAACTGGGGAAGCAGTGCCAGTCGACTAGTACGAGCGTCAGGACTATAGAAGAACGTATAGAAGAACTGTAATGATCATGGAAAACAGGTATCTCTGGAATTCACAAGGACGACTTCGCCAGAATGTCGCCATACGTAGCCTGCAGATCCAGAACCTGAAAGAGAACAAGTTCTTCTGCACGCGTCAAGCAGGCCAAAGACTAGTCCGATAATCCGAGGAATCATCTCGGTGACTGCTCAGATCCCTGTCGAAAAAGCCTGTTGCGATCAGGTATTGGCTGCTAGAGTCAGACATGTGTTGCATAATCCCTGCGTCAGCGTTCGACCCCAAGATTGATGGTCATCTACCACATCTCTTGCAGGAGCTGGACCTTAATGGTCTCTACGAGGCTGTATGTTGCTGAACAAAATTTGGCTGGTATGACTTTTTTTTTGTCCTTATAACACTGCCTGCAGAGAGGATTGAAGCGTTGAAAAAAACCATAACCAAGGCCGCGTCCCTCAGTGTCGACTACGGGCGCAGATTCCGACATTCAGCTGGTTGACGTGGGACAGAAAGGAGAACTATTGTCGCTCCGACTTATTTATAATAAAGAGATGAATGTATGATGCTTTGGACACCAGCATAGTTTCCATAGTCTTTTTTTTATCCTTTCAAAATTCTTGCATTGCCTTTTCAACGCATGTCCATAGTAACTGTAATATCATGTAGCATCACTTAGTCGACATGACAACAGCAGCCATCCTCATCACCTAGCTCTCCACGTCTTTCTTGGGCTATCCACCCTTGACACAGGTTAAGAACTCCCCAAATAAGGAGGTTTGAGTAAATTCTGATTGCATGGTAGCTAGAAAAAAAACCAGTTGATATCACGACGGATATCATGCCTTTTTTGTGAGTATTACTGTCCCTCAAGTTTGTTGATTTCGATGCTATTCGAGCGCAGAGGTTGTACTGTACAGAGCCAGCAACCAACCCTTTGACCAAACAAAGACTCGAAAAAAGAAAAGGTATCATTGACGTCTTGGTTTTTGATTCGCGCCTAGACTTTGCCCTGACTGCTCTCGCGACTTAGTCTTTGTGCGGATGATTTCCGCCTTATCGCGAAGATTACCGTCTATATTTTCTGGGTATCCGCGCTTTTTTTTTCTAGTAGTCTATGGATTAGATTCAGTATTATGATATCGACTTGATCAAGGATCCAGCTCCAGTCTCTCCATATATATATATATCTCTCTATATATTTATTTTTCCGATCTTGAAATGACAAATTATGAAATTCAAAGCATAGCACACGCAGTACATAGGTATTGTATCAACGCATCGTTGAAGCTACATAATTTAAAACTATTCATTTGAAGGACTGGCTGTATCACAACGTACATAGAACACAATAGATCACTTCATTTTAATGGAATAAATAACAGGAGACATACCAGATTGTGTACTGTACACAAGTTTTATCATTGGAATCGAAAAAAAAATCAATAAACACATTAATCATTCCCATGAGTATTAATGTCACTGTGGTGGTGATCAAATATAATTTTATTATTGCACGCCGTTCGTTGTGATACATATATATATTTCGAAATCGATCCCAAAAAACTACAGTACAACACTCAGGTCCCACCACACTATGAGTACTCCGTACGTATGTACAGTACATACTTTACTTTTCAGGACGAAGAGTAGTACAGTAGTAACAGCGCTGTTGCCAAAAAAAAAAAGTAGGATTATCTATCTCAGTGAACCTCTGATCTGTGTCGAAGAAAGGAACGTTCTTCTTCCATGGAAACCAAAACCATGGACAGATGCGCCCGGCGGGTGTGGTTGTTGGTTTTTTTTTCTGGTTCGGGACGGTTTCCAGTTAATTGCCTTAATTGGAACCAACAACAGCTTTTCGATGATAGATTTCTTCCTATTTTTCATTTCTACTATTTTTGTCTATTTTTGGCTACGGCTACGTGTCACCAGGAACATGAACCTGAATCTGGATCTGCCTCGTACTATCTATAATTAGGTTAATTACCAAAGGTGTTGTGTTGTCTTGGCTAGTCAAAATTATTATTTAAGACAAAATACCTAATGAAAAGTCGAATGACAAGACTCCAACACTTGTATAGACACATCGAATGAAAGCCGCGCTCATTATGTTAGCCCGGAGATACCAAGAATTATTAGATACTCCAAGCCTCTGCTGTATTTACGCCCCGCTAGAAACACGCTTGTCTGGGTGGTCGACGGGCAGGACATCCTCCAGCGTCTCGTCGGTGTCCTTCAAGTCTTCCTCCACGCTGACGTGATCCTTGATGCGCAGGAAGATCACCGGGGAAGCGACGACGAGAGCACCGCAGAGGAGACCCCAGTTACTGGCGAACTCGGCCATGTAGGACAGTTTGTTGCTGTCCAAGCTCCACATGACCGCGGCACCGGCCGACTGGATGCCCTTGTAGAATCCCACATAGTTGGCCGTTTTCCGACCCGAGTTGCTCAGAGCGCCCATGAACCTGTTTCCTCAATCAGCGTCCAATCCCGACCTGCAGAGTCATCGAAACATACCAGTAGACCGTGGCCTGCCAGACCGCATCATAGAAACCATAGAAGAAGTACAAAAACATGGGGCCCACATAGCCGGGGGTGGTCCAGTCAGTGGGGACAAAGTCCGGGGCGTTAACCGTCTCCCGCGTGTAGCCCTTCTGCCAGGCATAGCCGCCACCGTAGATGATCATGGTGAGCGCGAACAAAGCGAACAGCGCTGCCTTGGCGCGGACGGTGCGGCGGAAGTACTTGAGGTCAAGGAGGGGTCCATAGGTCGAGGCGGCGACAATCTGGGCAAACCAGTACAGGAAGTCGTTCAGCGCCTTGGTGCGGGTGTCGAAATGGGCGGCGTTGATGGCATTCTGCTGGTAGGTGTAGAACCAGTTGGAGGCCCAGAACATGGGGAAGAGCAGGATGACGCCGGGCTCGGCTTTTACAGTTTGGTAGAGACCGATGAACTCGGACTTCCAGCTGGGGTTCTTCATCAGGACGACCTTGGTGCCGTCGGACCGGATAATCTTGTTCGCGTCGCACAGGAAGAGAGCCAGGCAGGCGCCGACGAACATGAGCACGATGAAGGCAATGTAGGTGCCATCCGAGACGGTTTTGTTGCTCGTGACATGGATGTTCTCGCCGAGGGGAATCTTGGACTTGGGTCAGCTCATGGTCTGCAGAGGGCCAGACGTGGATGGACACGTACCAGACTGCCAATGCAAGCGCCAATGTTGAAGATGGACCAGAACCAGGCAAAGTAGCGACCCTTCTGCTGCTCAGTCGGGTAGGACAGCATGATGGTCCCCTGCGCCGTCCACAGCATACCGGCGCAAACACCCAGCAGGGCGCCAGCGAAGATGTTGAAGCCGGCGACGCTCGCATGGACGGACACGAGAAGACTGATGGCGTAGATGCAGTAACCAATGCCACCAAAGGACAGCGCAAGCCGGACCCCCAGACGGTTGACGATGGTACCGGCAAAGAAACCGACGACGGCGAAGGTGCTGTACAGCGCGGTATTCTAGCATGCGACACTGGTTAGTACTGGCGTTTTTTTTTTTTGGGAATTTCTCTCCAACACACCATGTCATCTGCCAGCGTCACATCCGTCTTCCCACCTCCTCCCAGGCCGCTGAGGGCGTTGAACATGCCAGGGCACAGGAAGGCAAACGGAAGGCGACCATGCCCAGCTGGACTCGCGGCGAGGC